TTAACATCTTTGACTTGACAGCGACATTAACCTTGATCCAGAAAATTATGTCTACACACCTAACACCTAACAATTTTAACCTAAGCTTGAATTAATTCAACCAAACATGTACCTAATTTTGTCTCACAGTAACATAAACCTAACCGTGGCCTAACACTGATCCAATTACTATATCCAAACTCTGAGTTGACCTTGATCCCACCTAATTTAATGTAACTTAATTTCTAATTTAACTCAACTTCATCTAACCTGATCTAATTTAACTCCATTGACCTCAAGTTCACTCGACTCAACGTAATTGAATTTATTTCTAATTTGCAAATTGTCTATGATTATTTTTGTAGATAATGTACAACAGAACGTTCGGTAAACTTTAAATTGCAACAGTCGAAATTTGAAGTTAGGGATCATAAGAACCAGCGAATGTAAAGCAAAACAATATTTGGATGATCCAGGGTGTACACGTACACATTGTACGTATATGTGTTTGCGTGGTTCGGTGAAAAGCCACGGAACGGCCCTGAGAGTTCACTACCTTCCCCGGATCGTTGTGAACGTCGCCGGGTGACCGTGCGCGTGTGCGTTGCATGTCAGGGCTGGTGAGCCCCGGAGGAGAACGGTCCTTTCTCGGCACACCGAAAACTGGTTCCGTATGCTTTCGTGCACTATATCGAGGGCTGGCCCCTGTTTCACGACCGCCGGGACTCTATCTGTCCTACAACCGAACGGACCATAGAGTCTCGAGGAGACGAATTGACCCGAACGCTCTCCCCGAAAGCGTCTTATCCCTCGCGTCCCAACGATGGTTACACTTTTTCGTTACGCGGTAACACTTCCGAGTGTAATTTCCATTTCAATTTATGGGTAATTTTACGGAGCGATGGGCAGATCGAGTCTGTAGCGACGTGGAATTTTCTTGGTTAGAAATTTCGAAGTTTGCAAGTTCCAAATTGTTAAACGATGAACATTTAAAATTCGGGATTCTAGGTCTACTTTGTCATGTCGGTCTACGGAAAAGCTCTCCGTTGGAACGGGTAATAAATCGGTCGTTCGTTATCGGATTTGCATCGGACACGCCGCAAATGACGTAGAATCCTTTTTATAGCGTATTACACGCGATAAGGAAGAAACGATGAAAAATGGAGGTGCACCCCAGTCGGACAATTGGGCCGGCTGGTCAGTCGAATCTGGCGGTGCAGAGGGCGCGTCGTTAGGAACGGTTTAGGATCGAGTTTTCGTGTTGGGGTGGTTCACCTTCCCCTTCGTCGTCCTTTCTCCGGCACGGCTACCTCTGCTCCGTCTCTCCGCCATTTTCTCTCTCTCCCTGTTCCCTGGTCGTTGTTCTCCGTCTAGCGGGAGCCCGCGGGAGTGACCCTGAAAGTTCAACAGCCCTCCCTCGAATGGCGCCCCTAACCGTCCCCTCCCCTCTCTCTCTCTCTTCCTCTCTCTCTCTCTCCACCCTCGTTCCTCTTCTCGTGTCCCTTCCCTTTGTGTTGTGCAGCGAAACCTAACTTCGCTTAGGCCACGGTTGCCGGCGCAGCCACCGAGACACACACCGTTCCTCTGCTCCGTTGGCCTGTTGTGTCGACGGACTTCCATGATGCGTGTCTTACCTTCTTTCTTACTCTTAACCTTCCGCGATGCGTTCCTCTCTTTTTCGTGTTCGTAGGCCGTGTTTTAGATAGCACGGGAATGAACGGACGTCTATGCCATCCGGCAGCCACGACCGTGTTCCGAGGCTAAACACCCGAGCCGCGGGTACCGGATTGCTCGTCCATCTTTCCTTTTTATTTTGATACCGTACTGCCAGAAATCGAGAGGGCTCTCGAACTTCCTCATAAATTTCCTTCGATCATTCCTCTTAAATACAAGATAACATTGCTTCTCGAATTTTCAAATTTCTCAATTTTTTAATTCCTACATTTATTTATATCAGAGTTACATAGCGTGTTATATCGAATTCTTAATTTTGCAGAAACAATGTAAATGTTAGTCCGTTTTCTTCCTAATTTATAGACCATTATTTTTCGATCTACATCGCTTCTGTTATAACGCACACGCAATTCGATGCAGTTTTCTTCTCCAAACGACAACGCGGAGGACATATGCCAGGATGCATTGCATAAGCAGCGTTCGAAGGTTCAAACCTTGACCATAACACCGTCATCGTGCAGCAGTGGTTCGTGCACTTGATAATGTACTCAATTATATGTTTTTTTCAGTTTCCTCCGTTCCATTGAATTTTTAATAGTTTTTTTCTTCCACGTTCAGCAATACGCGAATCGTCGCGGCTACACCCACATGTTATTTCCGGTTTGCGAACAATGTCGTGCAACCGCAAATATAATACCTATCATCACGTAAATCATTCTTTGTTCGATTTTTATTCTCACGATACTGTCGTGACTATTCTTTGTTGCAGCTGTGTTCTATGAAATTTAAACGGATTCGAAATCATAAATAAAACGCGTAGCGATCGATACTGGTTCGCGCGACTATCGATTGTTAGAGAGAATAGAAGTGACACGCAATTTAGAAATTTTAACTTGTATATTTCTAAAGAATTCGAATGTGTTTAATGCAAGCAGAAGAATACACACTTAACACATTATACGTGCGCTTTCGTGTAGCTCATTAGTAACTGAATAAGTATCTCGATGTAAGATCTCCTCTCTCTCTCTCTCCACCCTCGTTCCTCTTCTCGTGTCCCTTCCCTTTGTGTTGTGCAGCGAAACCTAACTTCGCTTAGGCCACGGTTGCCGGCGCAGCCACCGAGACACACACCGTTCCTCTGCTCCGTTGGCCTGTTGTGTCGACGGACTTCCATGATGCGTGTCTTACCTTCTTTCTTACTCTTAACCTTCCGCGATGCGTTCCTCTCTTTTTCGTGTTCGTAGGCCGTGTTTTAGATAGCACGGGAATGAACGGACGTCTATGCCATCCGGCAGCCACGACCGTGTTCCGAGGCTAAACACCCGAGCCGCGGGTACCGGATTGCTCGTCCATCTTTCCTTTTTATTTTGATACCGTACTGCCAGAAATCGAGAGGGCTCTCGAACTTCCTCATAAATTTCCTTCGATCATTCCTCTTAAATACAAGATAACATTGCTTCTCGAATTTTCAAATTTCTCAATTTTTTAATTCCTACATTTATTTATATCAGAGTTACATAGCGTGTTATATCGAATTCTTAATTTTGCAGAAACAATGTAAATGTTAGTCCGTTTTCTTCCTAATTTATAGACCATTATTTTTCGATCTACATCGCTTCTGTTATAACGCACACGCAATTCGATGCAGTTTTCTTCTCCAAACGACAACGCGGAGGACATATGCCAGGATGCATTGCATAAGCAGCGTTCGAAGGTTCAAACCTTGACCATAACACCGTCATCGTGCAGCAGTGGTTCGTGCACTTGATAATGTACTCAATTATATGTTTTTTTCAGTTTCCTCCGTTCCATTGAATTTTTAATAGTTTTTTTCTTCCACGTTCAGCAATACGCGAATCGTCGCGGCTACACCCACATGTTATTTCCGGTTTGCGAACAATGTCGTGCAACCGCAAATATAATACCTATCATCACGTAAATCATTCTTTGTTCGATTTTTATTCTCACGATACTGTCGTGACTATTCTTTGTTGCAGCTGTGTTCTATGAAATTTAAACGGATTCGAAATCATAAATAAAACGCGTAGCGATCGATACTGGTTCGCGCGACTATCGATTGTTAGAGAGAATAGAAGTGACACGCAATTTAGAAATTTTAACTTGTATATTTCTAAAGAATTCGAATGTGTTTAATGCAAGCAGAAGAATACACACTTAACACATTATACGTGCGCTTTCGTGTAGCTCATTAGTAACTGAATAAGTATCTCGATGTAAGATCTGATCCATTAAATGGCTGGTTTTCAGCGCTGTCAAATTAACGGGTATGTTGTACAACGCTATTATAAATTTGTCAGATTAATATTCCCACTTGTTCGCGAGTTTTGCTTTTGCTATTTAAAATAGACGTCCTTGCGAGCATATCCGGTCGTCTATCGATCTGCTTTTAACTTTGACTGTGCATTTTGTATCTGCTAAGCTTATTTCACCTTCGTAATTATTTTTAGGCCCCGAAGAAGTTTTCGCGAATAAAATATTGAATCAGAATTAGTTCTATTCTACAAACATTTACAGTGCTTCAGAATTTTTGATAGTTAAACGTGGGAACGTTTATATAACTCGATGCAATTCGCACGATAAAAGTAAAAGCGGCGTTTTTCGATTACGGAATTTTAATCTCTGACACGGCACGGTGGTTGCGAAACGTCGTAAAAGTAGCCCGGAAATGAAACTCGCGGTACGGTTTCTTTCGGTTGCGAAATCGGTAATTGAGTAAGGTCAAGAAGACAGCTGTTGTTAGCGGAGGCAATTTTTGTCTCGATCCATTGCGAAATGTTTTGACGAAAAGTGTGGTCGGCGTCGCAGGAAGTCGAGCAGCCCACAGGAAAGCTGTGTTTGCCGTCGACCGCGTTAAATCGGACGTGTCCGTGATCGTGGGAAATGGCGCGAGGTGTAGCGACAATAAAAGGACCAACCAGCCGGAGAAAAGTGGTATAATTCCTATCAGGAAGCGGAACGAAAAACGAAAGCCTTTCCGCTCCGACAATAAAGGACATTTTGCGTTACCACATTTTTAGTTTTCATTTACGCCATGGGAAAATATTCACTATCTCTTTTATCTTCCTGAATATATTTCTTTTTTTTTTCATTTATTTGTTTAACTCTTTCGCTACGGTGATTTTTTCTGAGAAATGTGATTATGGTCTTATTTCTTATAATAAAAAGTCAGATATTCTTATTTATAAAAAGCAAAGCCTTTCTACACAGTTTTTTATCCTTCCTTTATGTACAAAGGATAATACAAATGACAAATGTTATAACACGCCGTCATAACTCTTTTTTATAAAAATTTTTTAATCGCTAGGAAAAAATTCTGTTGGTATAAAAGTGGGCGCCTATAGGTGCTCTCAGTAATACAAACACAAAATTTCTAAGGGGTTAAAGTCGCATCAACCGCTAAGGGTTATTAGCGACTCGGAGAGTACATTATTATACAATTTAGTCATTTTGAGGTACTGTAGTAGATTTTGGATCGATGTGATGCCCTTCAGATTGTCCTTTAGGGTTGGTTAAAATATTTCATATTTCTAAAATTTTCAAATTTTGTATTTGCACAAGAAGTATAATAATTATTGAAAAAGCTCCGAGTGGAATGTTCAGAATGCCAAGTGTTGTAGGAGCAAAAATGAGCCTAAGAAAGAAGTTAACGGTCGAGAAACAATTTGTGTCGCATACAATGTTTCGTCGCGCATTTTTCGCACGTCAGGCGAAGCTAGTGTGCAAGGTGTTAATACAAATTGCATCGAGTTGTCGGACACGTTAATCACAGTGATTCGAGTCTCGTTCTATCTTTAATATCTCGGCAAGGTGTATTTAGGCGAGCGCCGTTTTGTTCCCCTCTTTGCGTTTCGTTCGGAATAATAAGCGACTCGAGTCTCTCCATCCCCCTCTTTTCCTGTAATTTTCTTTTAGCGCCCGTACATTTCTAACGTTTATCAATGACCCTGCTCGTAATTATAGGCGTGTGGCAAATTTTATTCCTTTCAACGTTTCCTCGAACTTGCAAACCTTCTTATGTTTAAGTAATTTTGCAACTTTTTTTACGTCGATTATCGTACCTCTTAATCTTCCTTTCTTTGTTCTAATCAATCTGAGAATATCAAGGTTTAAGGTTATTTAGATATCTAAGGGCATTTCTGATGTAGGAATAATTTAACCCTTTGCGTTCGAGAAGTGACTCACAGTCATCGTTATATTTAATACAATAATTTTAAATAAGCATTTTTTAACATGACACGTGTGATGTATAAGCACAGTGAAACAAACAATAGTTGAAATTATTAGTAAAGAAATAATAACCTCAAGAAAATTCATTTAATTTAATAACTAAGTTTTAAAGTTGCTGTAAACAGTGAAATTACCTTCGAGTGCAAAGGGTTAATAGTATTTGAGAATACCTTGGTTGACATATTCGATGATCGTAAGATGTAATTAACTCTCGTAATTAAAAGGTGAAAGAAAACGCGTATCGCTGAAATTCCATCGGCGTTTCAAAGTATCAAGTCGTTAATATTTTTAATGGTCTCCATTAGTGTTCAGGAAAATTATCTCCACTGCAGAATATTCAAGCTGAAAAATAAAGGCATGAAAAATTGTAAACGCAAATTCGGTGTATCTCGCAAAGCGTTACGTTCCAGGGATAACGTTTCTCAAGATCATTTCTTATCTCCTAATTTCCGCTCGTTCTCGTGGAAGGAGGCTCGCGGACGCGCTTCCTGTTTCTCTTGGCTCCACTTGTCAGCTGATGATCTCCAGTAACGTGTTACCCGGCTCATACATACGGTATGTACGTACGTACGTACTTGAAGGCCTCGTCCTTCATACACGAACGCAGCCGCTCGTTCGCACGCGTACCAACACACGGGGAGGGAACGGTAGCACTGGCTGAAGGGAGCAGGAAGGGGCCAGAGGGGAGGGATGCATTGCCGCATTCTGCGAACGTTATACATGCGGCGCAACTTGCAGCCTCGGCCTGCACTCGTTGCAGCGTCGCGTAATCATCGCTTACGTCACCTCGGTGTGTGCCGTTGGTGAGCGCGTGCATGTAACCGTGTGTGTCATTGCTCTTCCCTTTCGCTTTGTTTCTCTATTTTCCGCTGTCCTTTTTCGCGCCGCGCCGCTCCTCTTCCTTGTTTCTCCTTCGAGCGACGCACGCGCATGCGCGTACTCGGATGCGCGCGCAACCCTACATTTCGTGCACGGAGGTCAAAACTAGAGGTGCTGCTATCGATTATCGCTAGATTATCGATATCTTATTCATACTTTGCGATTTTGTCGTTACGATACGCTTAAATATAACGAAATACAAGTCTCTTTACTGTTGCTTAATACTTTAAATCTAATTCGAATGAGTAGATGCGAATGATTTATGCGTCGCATTATGCGAGGTTAGGTTTGAAGTTTGTACGAGAATATATTCTCTTTTCTGTATACTTTAATCTTATCTTAATGATGTGGTAGGTACATCGAATTAATATAAACGATATGTTTTGCTGTTTCACTCACAGGTATTTAAAAATGTAAGATTATCATAAATGATCAGTGTTTTACTTGGTATAACATGATCTTCGTCGAGATCGAAGTTGAGCAACGTTGACTCCTTATGGGGCAGATTTGTGAGGTTAGGATACGGCATACTACACTGTCCATAGTTAGAAAGCGTTGTTCCAAGAATTAACGGAAAGGTAGAAATAAAATTCTTTTGTTTTACTCCTACGATATTTAATTCGCTCGTTGTGAAATGTTCTAACACAAAATGCACGTTGTACGCAGCAAGTTTGTAGCAGCGACAGGCATCCTTTGATGAATAATGCAACAATTATTCGTTGTCAAGAGAGGAGCTGGAATTTGCAGTTGGAAAGGTTAAAGAGGAATCTCATCGACCATGTCTTATGGTCAGTAAAATTTATTCGTTTTCTTTTGGCGCCTTTTGTCTTTGTTCATAGTCTATTGCGCACCCTCACGCGCATTTGCGGTGACATGCGCGCGCATCACTGAATTCAAACATTCAGGATATAGGTTTTCTATTAAAAAATTTATTAACAACGTACATATTAACAAATTCGTACAAACATAATAAAACTTTTTATATCCGTAGGTTCGTTTCAAGATAATTTTTACGTATTTCTGTATACGTCTCTATCTGTATTCTCAACGAGGGTAATGAAAAGGGGAAGGTTACCTTAATTCGAAAATTAAGTGACTCACCTAGTATATGTGCCCACGGTTGCGTTATTAATGCACGCGATAATTCCTCGTTACATAACATAATATAGCACGTACACGGAAGTGGCGGGGTAATAATTAATCGTTAAAAGATAGTATAAATCGAACGCGTACACGCGTTACCACGGTGCAGATGCGTGGATCTTTATCTGTTGGCTCTTTACACGCCAGATAGTTTAATGCGTTCGTAGCTCGAAAGAGAGGCGGCTGCATAATGATAAGCTTCGAGCAGAGTGCTACTCGTTCTGGCTGGATGTGATAAGAAGCACTTTTTGTTTGATTAACGTGGACTAGAAATGGAACCGATCCAATAATTTCTTATAATACTCGAGCCGTTGAATAATAGAGTATGGTAACCGAGAAAGGCGACGATATATTTTATTCTTGAGCACGTTCATTTTTAGTTGAGCATATTTTCTATCATTTCTATCATTTTGTTATTCCGTTACATTCCCCTAATTCTACTCTTGAACTTTTTATTTTAGGACACGAAGTACCGGTAGTCAGAGTGTTAAACTGTCTTTATGGAGCGTAATTCATTACGTTTTCCTCATATATTCGCAAGTTGATTTACTCTTTTTACGGGCGAGATTAAAAGGATGTAAAACAAGATTGAATAGATGGAAATATCTTGCCAACAATTACCAGACAATTAATGAATCTCTTACTTCCCCGTAAGTCACAGGATGCGCGCGTTAACGCGATTATAATTTGATTACCCGAGGTTAATTACCTCTCCGCGCTAATCTCTGAAATTAAATCACGTGCGTACGCGATCTCGACAGATAACAAAAGCAGGCTCAATGGGAACGTTTCGACCTCGATCATTTTCGTATCCTTCGAGGTCTTCTCGCGGACACAATTCGAATCTTCGATCGATCGCATTTTTAGCGAAAGAAGCGAGGCATTTCGCGGTCGAGTTTCCCTTTAATCGTCGGAATACCCGTGCCTGACCACTCTCGTGGTATATACCCTGTTAAAGTCGTTAAACGTTAATTGGCAATCAGCAGCAGGAGATTGCCACCTGTGCGAACTTCCACGGTTTCGTGGCGAGCATATGAATGGAAACTTGTAAATTATTTTTCGCCTTTGCTCGCTTGGTTGCTGTTGAGCCGTGTGCCTTCTGCGAAATCTTGCATCTATTTAAACGAGTAAACTTTTGAACTCGTTTGTTATTAATCCACCAATAAGTACTCGTATCTTTTCATTGTGAAATAATTATCTTCGATAGGAGACTGAAATTGTGACGAGTGATCATAATGATCTTTGGTATATAAAAGTGGTGAGTGACTATAGGCACCTTCGATACATACCGAGTGCTCAAGGTTGACTATAATCACCTTTGGCGAGGAAAGGGTTAATGGGAAACGAACTAAGCAATTTTACCGTGCACGATAAACCTTGAACGTAATGGAACCGGCAGTTAAACGCGCTTCCGACGGCGCACGCGTACCACCGGAAGTCGATTTATTGTTACGTTTTGCTGTGTCCGGTTCTTCGTTTCCGACCACCTTTCATCGAGCCCACTTACGGAAAAGAAAATCGATAATGCTTTCTCCCCTTCTTCCTTTGCACGTGCGAAATTTATTCAGCTTTACAAATCATTCATATCCGATCTAAAAGAAGTAAGTCACGTTAAGTAATATAACGCTTAATTGTGATTTACGATATCTCACAATTCTTTTTCTTCCTAAATATTTTTATCCGTGAAATATTTTTGCACTGGCATTAAGAAATATTCCGCGAATCGCATCTCGACGCGTAGAGGGTTAATAAAAGCACCGACTCAATTTTCTCCAAGCTTCGATCGATCCTGTTAACCCACTCGAGGCAGGAATCTTATTATAACACGATACCGACTAATTGGAATCTTTTCCTCTAATTAGATCACATTATCTTCCTTATTTTTAGCTTCAACTTCAATCAATGTCAAAATCAACGTCAATCTCGTTGAATTCTATCAGTTATCTGCAAGACGCGCATTATGTATCGTCGATTGTATCGGATAGATACAAGACACATGGTGCGTCGTCATCTTCGGATAATATAGGACACGATGCGTCATCGATCCTGGTGAACAGATAAAACAGTGTGCGTCACCAGATAAACAGTGCAGAACGCACACGGTGCGTCTTGAATCGCATTACATAAATAGTGCAGCACATGATTCATCCCAATTTGCATGAAATAAACAATGTAGAATACACGGGGCGTGTTTAATTACATAGATTAATTAGATAGAATAATGTAGTAGGGTGTCTCATCATTTGCATCGCACCAGAATCTACAGAACGATGCGTCATAATTTGAATTTAATAAACGGTATATCACGTACATTCTTTTCAATTGTATCAAGCTTATAAAATATGACGCACGAGGTGTGTCATTAACACTAAACCTACCGACGTATAATGTGTACTTAATTTGAAATTAAAAATGAAGTTGAAAAATGAATAAACAAATAACCAAACATAAATTAGTACACACATTTATTCTTTATCTTGATGAAAATCAATGCTGATTTTAAGGAATGTACTTTAACAAAATGTGCTCCTTACAATAAGAAACTTATGAAGCGGTCATTTGACCGGTTTGGTAATTTCAGTATTAATTATAAGATGCATCGTCAATTACGAATAGCGTACAAGGCATAAGGTGCATTACAGTATCGAGCACGGTGCGTCATGAATTGCGGTAAACAGGTGTAACACGCACGCGTTGTCATTGACTAGGTATTTAGACAACACGCGTATTGTGTCGTACATTGTAAGACGCACATGTTGCGTCGCGTGTTAAAGGTAATTAATGTATGACGCATAACGTGCGTCGTCAGCTGCATTTCATACGCAACGTTGAACATGCAGCACGCATCACCGATCGTATCAGAGAAGCAACAATATGAAGGATGCATACCTCGAAGCGTTAATCGACGATTTCACGCGCGTATTCAGCGCGCGATCAGCGACGCGTGTTGAAGCGTGTGCCGAAGGTGGTTGCAAGTGTCGCGATCGCCAGACGAAATCCTCGTGCACCATCGAGTAAGAATACACGAGGGCGAGACAATAAATGAGTAATGTTTCGATTGAATAACGAGGGTCGACGAGCATCGTGTGGGGCTCGAAAGAGTTCTTCCCCTTCTCTTCGTATCTTTCGCAACCCTCGAGCCGGTGCTTTATTGCGTCCGTGCTGCGCCGGTCGTCGATGATTTTCGGGGAAACGATTTGAAGTTCCGCTCTTCTGCTCCTTTTACCAGTTATTATGCACGCGAGTGCTATCGATTCGCTACTCGTCGCATCGCGGTTCCTGTTACGCTCTTACAAAGCTATCGATACACGGACACCAATAAAGATCGCGTTACAGCTGTCAAAACACGCGCGTGTTTAACGTTACCCATATTTGTTATTTGACTCGATTTGGGGTGCAAGGAAGGGGACGTTAACTCGAAGCGCTAGATCGCACGTTTCGGTGATCGACTTTGTGCAGTTTGCATGTACATATCGAACCGTGAGCACAAAATTCACGGAAATTTATAAATTCGTCGAGCATGAAATTCGAACGTTTCAAAACAGAAATTCACCGGCAAGATGGTTCCCTCCATCGAGAGGAACGCAGCGAGCAGACGCTGAGTTTGCCGCATTATTCGAGGTGTGTCATTTCCATCAGTTTTGATCGTAGTCTGCGAGAAGAGAAGAAAAAAAATCTATACCCCTCGGTTGTCATCGTGTAGCCGGGCCTCGGTCGAATGAACAATAGATCCTCGTACGTGTAGACGTACACACGTACACGCGTTTTGCAGGGGTTTTCACGCACATAGAGGCTACCCTTTATGCTCCGGAACAAGTGTACGTATGTAGGTATCAGTGTTTCTGTAGAAAAGTACACTCGAGAGCGAATGAAGGAGGAAGGATATACCGTGTTCCCTTTCTGCTCACTGAGCTGGATCGTGTGTTCCCGCTTGAAATTTTTAAGTAGCCCCTGATTGAAAGACACAGGAACACGGAGATATAGGGGTAATTAGAGCGATTCGTGGAATTCACAGTCGCGAAAACGTGGATGTTAATTGGCAGGATTGCGGGGGCGGGCTCATTGTTACCGACGATGAAATTGAAATTCTTCTACAAAAATTGCATTTATACCATCGATTCATTGATCATTCTCGGAAATCTACCTGAAACGAAATTGTAATTAAAATGTCAAATTGTAATAATTAAAAAAAAAACATTTTTTGTAACATCCTTGTTGTATGACCAACTCATTGCGGGGGCGGGCTCATTGTTACCGACGATGAAATTGAAATTCTTCTACAAAAATTGCATTTATACCATCGATTCATTGATCATTCTCGGAAATCTACCTGAAACGAAATCGTAAT